ATCAGCTCGTCCGGGTCCAAAAGGTGTAACGATGTCCTCTCATTTGATGATCACTCTTACTCATGCTCGATGGTTATTATCATTATTGGGCATCCATCAAGAGCTTCCTTTGCCTTCATCTGTGTTTCAACCATACGTCTACATTCCTTTACATGGAACAGCTTTCAAATTAAAGCAGAAAGAAAAGTTTTATGGTGATGATGCACCAGCAAAGGAATACTATGAGCTTCTTTCCAAAGACAGGGTTTTCCAGGATTTCAAGAGGTGCATTTGCTCTGGCAGTGCCATTGATAATATTGGAGCTGTGTGTGTCCAGTATGCACACACTAAAGATGCCATTAAGGAACTGTTAGACAAAAAAGCTCCTTCTAGGAAAACAAGCAAATCAAGAAAGAAATAACTATTATAATTATTGTGTTGTGCTGTATGAATTGTAAATGTATATTGGCATTATTATAAATTTCAAATATCAATTGTCTAAATATTTGTATGCATCCACATGTGCATTAAGTATTTTTTATTATTTTAGATTATGAAGGTTGTGCAATAATTGCCAAATGTTTGACACATCACTATAATCATTATTAATGACGTGAACTGGACTCTAGTGTTCAAGAGTCATTTGGGTGGGTGCTGGGTAGTGGGTATACAATACATGCATAGATAAAAATAAAATTGTAAAGATGTCATGATGATGCATGGGTAGATCCATAATATTCTGAATCTCAGTCATGTGTAAACCATATATGGTGTAAACAAAGGAAGCAGGCTGTAGCTGATACAAATAGTTCATCATGGTGAAAGAACTGCCCAACTGGCATGAAGCCAGAGCCACTCATCCTCTCTACTGAAACAAAACACCACAGACTGGGATGGTCCAAGAGGATCAGGTAAAGAATATGAAATGAGATTATCTGCTTGAGAGAAGAGAGCAAAGGATTCATTGGAGGTCATGCATACATTGACATTCATTCATAACTAAAAATACAATGCAAAAACTGAAGTGAAATTTGGAAAAAAATCACTGATGCAACCACCCCTTGTTACCGAGCTTGTGCATGATGGCATTCCAAGAAGCAAAAGTTGAAATAATTACGTGCAAAGGAGAGGTAACATCTGTGGCATACTGACCAATGAATGATACAAACATGATGCTGATGCATGGAGTAAATAAGTTATGCTCTCAAACTTTCTGATGATCACATACCAGCAAATTATAAGGTTGCCAAAGTGCATTGTGATGCCGAGGCTATTAATTAGTCCAGGTCGGACTCCAGGTTACCTTGCAAGATGCCTTTAAAATGATCGATAAAAAGTGTCTGCCTGCTCTCTCAACTCTTTGTGGTAATGATTTTACTAAATGATGAGACAGATATAAAGAAATTAGTATCTGGATACATAAACTATGACTATGTTAGGACTTATGAGTACATCAAAACAGTGCTCAAATGGATCAAGGACAATGAAGATGCAACACTGCAGCTATGCATTACTCATATGCCATTTATACAAAAAAACTCTCATCCTATGCCAGCCTCCAGTGTGGATTCTTTTGTCAGTACTACTGCTTCTCCTCTTTATGA